GTAAACATGATGCATGATATATACACATATTTTTTAAATATTTTAACGGTCTCTTGCCCCCCTATCTCCAGCACCAACATTAAAATTGATTGATTTGCCGGGACTGGAGCAAAGAATTGTGGATGATTCATTGGTGAGTATGCGGAATCGTTTTTCTTCTGGTTTCACATGTTAGGTTCTATTGCTTTTTTCTTCATACTCAATTATTTGGGCATGTTTCCAATTTTTGTTTTGTTAATCTGACAATTTTGTCGTACTTATCCCCAGCTCAGCGAGTACATTGAACACAATGATGCTATTTTGCTGGTTATCATACCTGCTGTCCAGGCACCGGAAATTTCATCATCACGTGCAGTTAGGATTGCTAAGGAATATGATTCAGAAGGTGAGATTATAACTAAATTCTATATTTTCTTATCTCTTCTCTCTTCTTGGTTTGTGTAATTAATTTTTTTTTCAGAAGTTTCTTTTACTTTGAAGTTTTTTCTCTCAAATTTTCATTGATTAATGTAGGCACCAGAACTGTTGGTGTTATTAGCAAAATTGATCAAGCAGCTTCAGACTCAAAAGCTCTTGCAGCAGTTCAGGCTCTCTTATTGAATCAGGGACCATCAAAGACTTCTGATATTCCATGGGTTGCTCTGATTGGTCAGACTGTTTCTATTGCTTCAGCTCAATCTGGAAGTGCTGCATCTGACAATTCTTTAGAGACTGCTTGGAAAGCAGAGAATGAAAGTCTAAAGTCTATTTTGACTGGAGCCCCTCAAAGCAAGCTTGGTAGAATAGCCTTGGTAGATGCCCTTGCTGGTCAGATTCGTAATCGTATGAAACTCAGGCTTCCAAATCTTCTTTCTGGGTAACTTCTTTTCTCCATTTGGTTTTCCCCTTGGAAACTTTAAGTCTTGAAGTTACTGTGGAGGTCTACTAGCTTTTTCTTCTTGTATTTCAGCATACATTTTTCTTGTCAGTGCCTTTTCTTTACTCACTGGCAGCTGTGTGTGGTGCATAAAAGTAAAGTATTGGGTGTGCAAGTGTGCTGCAGATTGTAGGTTCCAGGTTCTCCACTTTAGCTAAGGAAGAGTTGCCTCTAGACCCCTTAAAATTTTTTCTGCTCCCGAAACGTGTTAAAACATTTATCTACATGAACAATTTCTAATTCTAATACTTTATCTTATATAAATAATGTAAACTCCCAAGTGAGATTACTGTATAGGTCATTAAGTTGTCTTCTCTGTTGTTCTGGTTGAATTTTTTGACCTGTTAGTTTTAATTAGACTTAGAGTGAATTTGGTCTGGGATTTACATACACTTTGTAGAACTTGTTTTCCTCATATTCTGATTCTGTCAACTACTTATCTTCATTAGGATTCTAATTCTTTTCCTTTATTGAGAATCTGCAGGCTTCAGGGTAAGTCACAAGTAGTTCAGGATGAATTAGTGAGAGTCGGTGAGCAAATGGTTCATAGCGCTGAAGGCACAAGAGCAATAGCATTGGAGCTCTGCCGTGAATTTGAGGATAAATTTCTACTGCATATAACTGGCGGCGAGGTGAGTTATTTTGGAAGTGGACTAGAAATTGTGATGCCCTCAAAGTTCTGTATTTGGTTAAATCAAGTAGTTGATGATACATAGTGGCAAAGAAAAGTGTTTTTCTGGTTGACCTACAAGAGAAGGGTGTAGGAATGCCTATGAGATAGTTTAAATACCCTTAGTGAATCCCCCTTGTGTGTTGATTCAAATTCAATAAGGGTATTTAAGTTTTTTCATGGCATTCCTTCATGTTTTCCCCTGCAGGTTGACCCAAAAACCGCATTCCCTATGGTAGCATTAAATTGTATGAAAATGTCTAGTTACTTTCTTTAGTTTAGGTTCTCATAATGTCATTCAAATTTTCTAGGAAACCTAAAAACTTTTTTTGATAATTCGAATTCAACTTATATTCTGCTGTATGAGCTCTCTTACCTCCTCTTCCTCTTCATCAACTGCTTGTTTCCATTTTTTTTTATTTCTTTTTTGCAGGGTAATGGTTGGAAAATTGTTTCAAGTTTTGAGGGGAATTTTCCTAATAGGATTAAGCAGCTCCCTTTAGACAGACATTTTGACATGAACAATATCAAAAGGGTAGGCCTTTTCTTTTTATTGTTATTCAAGTTCATAAATTTCTTCTGCTTACATGCTGTTGATCTTAACTTCTACAATGATTTCTCTCTCAGATTGTCTTGGAAGCAGATGGTTATCAACCTTATCTGATATCTCCAGAGAAAGGGTTAAGATCTTTAATAAAAGGTGTCTTGGAGCTAGCAAAAGAACCATCACGTTTATGCGTTGATGAGGTAAATCTGTATATCTGCTCTGGCATATATGTTCTTGTTGAATGCAACTATGCCAGTGTTTGAGTTGCACAAAGAACTGAAAATTTTATGAGATACTTTGGACATATGGTTAATTTGCATTATCTTAGTGATTTTTGATCTCTCTCTCTCTCTTTCTTCTTCTTCTTTTTCCTTCTTTTTCTTCTTTTTCTTGTTTAAGCTAACTTTTGGGTGCTTGTTAAAACAGGTGCATCGTGTCTTACTGGATATTGTTTCTGCTGCTGCAAATGCTACACCTGGTCTTGGAAGATATCCTCCTTTCAAGAGAGAGGTATTAATCTTTTGATTTGATGTTTTTCTTACTGTTTGAAATTTGTCATTATTCTGAACATTTACCAGGTTGTGGCAATTGCAAGTGCTGCTCTTGACGAGTTCAAGAATGAAGCAAAAAAGATGGTAGTTGCATTGGTAGATATGGAGCGTGCATTTGTGCCACCTCAACACTTCATCCGACTTGTGCAAAGAAGGCATGTTTGAAGATGGACTCTTATGGTTTTTTAAAATCTTTATTCTTTATTCTCTTATAGTTAAATCAACGTTTCTTTTCTTCCACATGTATTCAAAATCAGATTTCAAAAGTTACTTGTGCAGTTCACTAACAAATGGAATAGCAAAAGATAACATGGATCATTTTAATGTGTATGGAACTTGTTTTAAATGCAAGTACTCATTTCAATTTTGTCATGCAAATATTGAAGTTTCATATAATTTTCTAAGAAAAGTGATACCATTGCCAACTTGATGTTTTAGCATTTTGTTTTTGACCATAACTTTTACTGGTCATTTCCTTTTCACTAGAATGGAGAAGCAGCGTCGAGAGGAAGAGCTAAAGAGTAGATCCTCGAAGAAGGCAATTGAGGCAGAGCAGTCTATTCTCAATAGGGTTCGAACTACTTTCTCTATTCTGAGTTGGCTTGAGTTGATGATATTTACTTGAGTGGAGACACCCACATTGCAATTTCTGCCTTCAAAACTGACTACTACTGCATCTCCCTTTTTTAGGCAACCAGTCCTCAAACAGGTGGGCAACAATCTGAAGGAAGCTTAAAATCCATGAAAGATAACAAATCAAGTAAGCAAGATAAAGATGTACAAGAGGGATCAGCCCTGAAGACTGCTGGACCAGGTGGTGAAATAACTGCAGGTTAGTACTTACCAACTCATCTTTTTTAAATAACATGGGTATCTAGACCTTTGGTTTGATTAGTTCTACAGATACCTGAAAACCGCCTTGTCCACATGCACAAGGCATTGTGGCAAAGCTCCACCCATGGGTAGTGGTTGTGGCCTACTCAAATTTTTTTTTTTTTTACCAAAATGGTGGAAGGATTTGAAACTGGGCATGGTTCACATGACTCCTTACAATTTGTCCAGCCCCAATGGTTATACTTGCTACTTAGTGAATGGAGCTTCAGGTACATATAAATATTAAAAAATTTTCCATTTTCAATGCCAAAAAGTCTTTTTTAAATTTTAGCAATACACTAGTCTTACAAGCAGGAACTTTGATTAATTTGTGGGCCCATGACCTTCCTAATTTGTTTCGGGTTTAATTCTCATCTGGGGATTGTGAACAGGAGGATCAAATCCTGTATCAGTTGGTTTTTCCTTTTCTTTCAGTAAATCATTAGTTTGTTCATTAGTTTCCTTCCTTTAGAGGTCCTTATAGGTGGAAAGCCTTTCATCATGTATTCTCATTTATATATTAAAGTCCATAGACAGAATAATCATTTAAAAAATGTATGCTTTTTGTTTGGTATCCACAGGATTTTTGTTGAAGAAAAGCGGGAAAACAAATGGGTGGAGCAGGCGATGGTTTGTTTTAAATGAGAAAACAGGGAAGGTTGGTGCATTCTAACTTGAGGTTTTATAAAATTGTTTTTTTTTTTTTCTTTTTTTCTATGATAAATACGAAATGATATTAAAATTATGATGCAGCTTGGTTATACCAAAAAACAAGAGGAAAAGCATTTTCGTGGTGTTATTGTTTTGGAGGTATGGAAGTAATTCTTAGTTTCTTCTGATGCTTTTGTTCTGATTGTTAGTAGATCATCATTCCTTGCAAATTTGCATAAAACTGAAAATTGCTTCAGACTTTTGGTTGTTTCAGCATTCAGAAAATAGGTCTAATCCTGTGTGTCCAAGATAGATTGTACTTCTGTAATGGATTTAATCCTTCGCTACATTCACAAATTCATTGTATGATGACTTGTGGGATTAGTAATCGATTATGTATTTTGATATTGGCTACTATATTTCTGGATTGTTATGCAATAATTTAGATTTTACTCATAAATGGTTATGAATTGTCATTGATATTTTACTGGATCTTGATGATGATGCTCTTATTATAATAAATAGTCTAGATTCTCTATGTTTATAGCTGCTCTCCTGATCATTTGATGAATGCACCAGGAATGCAAGATTGAGGAAGGTTCAGATGAGGAAGAAGCCCCATCAAAGAGTTCCAAGGATAAGAAGGCAAATGGACCAGACTCTGGAAAAGGATCCAGTCTTGTTTTCAAGATAACTAGCAGGGTACCATACAAAACAGTTCTGAAAGGTGCTAATGTTTTAGCTTTTGCTTATTTAACTGGAAATCATTTCCTATTAGTTTTCTGTGAAATTGAACTTTCACTTTGGTCTGCACAAAAATTTTGATAATGTCATGGTATTTAAAGTGATAGAATGATTAGTAATGTTCATAGATTGTTGACGATTGTAGATGATAGAAAACAATTGAGGTGATATAAGTCATTATGGAAAGTTTTCCTGTGCAAAATAAACAGGGCCATAGATGGAGTGCTTTGCTGCTATTTCTACTCACTTTCAAATATATTCATGTATTTGAATTGCAGCTCATAGTGCCATCGTGTTGAAGGCTGAGAGTATGGCAGACAAAGTTGAGTGGCTAAACAAGTTAAAAAATGTTATTGAATCTAAAGGAGGTCAAGTAAAGGGTGAATCTGGTCTTCCAACAACCATGAGGCATAGTCTATCTGATGGTTCACTTGTGAGTTGTTAGAGTGATCCCCTTCTTTTAATCTAAGGGTTCACAAATGCTTGGTTTCATTTGTTTAGTAATCAATCATCATTGATCGGCATTGTCCATTTTCTGGTCCTTATTACTCTTGCAGGATACAATGGCAAGACGACCTGCTGATCCAGAGGAAGAGCTTAGATGGATGTCTCAAGAAGTACGTGGTTATGTGGAAGCTGTTCTTAACAGCCTGGCTGCCAATGTCCCAAAGGTCTGTTTATTCTCTTGGATGACCTTGATTTTTCTTTCATACAAATGCACTCCTCTTCATCACATTTTTGGTTGAGCAGGCAGTTGTTCTTTGCCAAGTAGAGAAAGCCAAGGAAGACATGCTCAATCAGTTATACAGCTCTGTTAGGTAAGTATTGATACTCCCTATGGCCCCAGGAGACTGGAGATGCGCATCTTTCTTTAGGTGTCTATTTCTGGAGGGGGAAAAGTATGCTTGTCATGCATTATTAGATACTCCTGTTAATGAACAACAAATAATTTAGATTGTTGGACTGAAACTTTTGAAAATCATAGCTTTTCATTCAATGTGGAGAATGTGTTGGAATTCTGAGGAGTGAAACAGAGTCATCCAAGTGATGCCAAGCCTATTAAATGTCGTATTGTCATTAATCAAAGCCATTCATGCAACTACTAAAAATAACTGTTAAAAGCTATTGATTTTTTCATTTTAATGTCTTCTGTTTCATTATTGAACTAGATTGTGATACAGGAGAATAACCTTCTACTCATTTTTCTTTGGATAGTGCCATTAACAATGCTAGGATTGAAGAGCTGATCCAGGAGGATCAGAATGTTAAGCGGAGGAGGGAGCGTTACCAGAAGCAATCATCACTGCTTTCAAAGCTCACAAGGCAACTAGGTATCCATGACAATCGAGCGGCTGCTGCCACCAACTGGTCCAATGGTGGTATGTAAAATGCTGGTTCTTTGTTTTTAATATAATCACATTTTACTGGTTTTTGCACCCAAACTTAGATATTTAGTTGTTTCAATTTTGGTTACAGAAAGCAGCCCACGAACAAGTGGATCCTCATCGGGTGACGAATGGAGGTCTGCATTTGATGCTGCCGCAAATGGACCTGTTGATTCATCTAGGCATAGTAGACGGAATAGTGACCCAGCTCAGAATGGCGATGCAAGCTCAGGTGCTAACTCTGGCAGTAGGCGTACTCCGATACGGTTGCCACCAGCACCGCCACAAAGTGGTTCATCCTATAGATACTAGAGAAAATCAAACTGGTTTGTTATTCATGCATCATTCTTGCTTGCTGGGTGAGTGTTTATTCTTTCCCCCTTTCCATCGAGCATGTCTCGAGCTCATATGTAATGTTGCATCTATAAGTATGTAATTTTGAGATGTATTTCTGATGATATATCAATGTCACCCGGCAGTTAGTGGACGATGAGGGGGTTCGTTTGTTTGGGAGGGCTATCTTTCCATTTTTTTTGTCCGATGTTACATATGTATTTGTTTGCGTTGAATCTATGAGCAAAAATTTTAAATCCTCGGAGCCTCTATGTTTTTTTTTGGTTTCTCGCCCGGTATCCGGGACTTCGTCTTGACTAATTCGGATCCGATTCGCGTCGCGCATCTGGAAATGGTGGGTAAGTCTCCCAACGAGGGCTGCTGCGTATACAATGTTTCGAACTCGAGACCTTGCTTAAACTGGAACAAACCGCTTATTACTTAATCTAACCACTCGTTGGTTTGGAGCCTTTATATTACTCACATTTTTACTTTCCCATAAAAATTCATTGATTTGGGACAACCGATAGTGCACATAATTAATTAATTTGATTTTGGTTTTGAACTATGAACTAAACCCAAAAATTAGTAATTGTTAAGACATTTATGGTCATCTCAATGACCATTTTGTCCTTATCTTCAGATATCCACCGAACTTGTATCAAATAAAATATTGAATTGAATGAAAAAAACAGAAATATCTTTACAGGTTGAATTAAAGAAGTATTTCAATATCTTGGCTGAATAAGAGTCACTAAAAATATTTTGATACTTTCATAACTTATACCGCACGATGCAGTCTAGACTTCAAAAACCATAAATAAATGGATGACATGCGGCAGATATCTGAAATATTTATTTACGGAATATTTTACAATAAGGCACTGAGAGGCCAACAATAATATCCAAGTTGAAACGACTACAAAGTTTTGATGTATGTATGTTAATATGAATTCCTTAATTGCAAACCCTAGGGAAGTTCTGTGCCTCTCCTGACAAAAATAAGCTGTTCCATGTTGTTAGTAACTTAAAACATAAAGCAGAAATTGCTGTTTACCAAACAGCAAAATGTGTGGTTCTGGTGATTACATTAAGGGGAAATTCCGATTGAGTTTGTCAACAGCTTCTAACCACAACGGGATATCTATGATGTCAATTCCAGCTTTCGTTAGACGGTGAGAGAGGCTCCATTGTCAGCTGCTGTAAGATTGAGTATCATTGTTGCTGCCTTCAAAGCCCTGGTTGATAATTAAGTGAAATATTTCAAATTTTTAGATGAGATATGATAAGATTAAAACTAGAGTGACACTGACAGTGTCTGAAGAGAAAAAAATTGCTTACCATGCCTCAGGTGTCTGGTATAGGGAAGCTGAAGCTCCAAAGCATGATTCAAGCATCTCAGTATTTATCACTCCTGGACTAAGTGCAATAACTGCCATGCCATCAGGCAATTCCTTTGCCACTGATCTGCTTAATCCCTCAATAGCCCACTTTGATGCACAGTAAGGTGCAACCTATTGAGATGGAGATGGAATCACAACTGTTATTGAAAAAGGAGTAATGCTAATATAATATCACAATCAAAGAAAGGCAGAAGGAATGAAACAAAGATATGACATGAATCTAGCACCACAGCATGGCACCTCTCGCTCAGACGTGGGCATGCTTTTTCTTTTAACTTCAAACATTATGACATAATTATTTAACATATGGGAAAAGCAAATCCTTGATTGATTATTTCAGCTATATTTTCTGCATGATTCCATCCAAATTTATTCATCTAAATGAACTTTGTTTCAATAAAAGTGCCTTAGGCAGGAAAATTAAGTGACCAATTTCCCTTATACTAAACAGGATAAACAACCATCTTAGTAAAATATAGAAAGACTGGCATATAGGAGATTATGAAATAATGACACTCCTCAACTTACCAGGGCAGCTCCAGATCTGCCCCATCCAGAAGACATGTTAACAATAATTCCTCGCTTATTTGGAAGCATCAGAGGGATGAAGTGACGCAGCACATTAGCTATCCCTTTTACATTTGTGTCAATCACTGTATCAAATTCTTCTGCAGGAACGTCCCAAATCTTGTTGTTTTTATTGATAGTACCTGCATTATTTACTGGCAATGCCTCCATTTCAGCATTTTTAACGAGACAAGCAAATGGGGAAATCAAATATGTGACGAGTCTACCATTCCAATGAAATGATATAAAAATTATAGAAATAGGACTTGAATCCTGTAAAATTTCCAAACTTTTTAAGCCTCCAACCCACAGTGAGACTTCAACTCCAGAGGGGCTAAATGATTTACAAGCAAACAAATTTCAACACAGAGAGAGTTAGGGATGCAACAACTAGCCCAACTGCAGTTTGAAGAATTGGCATACCTATAATATCTGGAACACCCTTCTTCTCCATTACAACACGGGCAAGCTCCTCAACACTGCTATTCGACCTCTAAAAACAAACCATACAGTATAAATATAACAAAAGGATTTATCACTACTTTCAAATCTAGTACCACTCCCAAACTAACAATTATGCTAATTAAGGAACACTGAAAAGGTATTGGGGACAAACATAACCCTAGCCAGGCTGCAGTACAG